TCATGTATGGCTTGTATGTAGCTGTCCCCCATAAAGCCTCATGCTCTTGTAGGTGAGGCTTCTCAGAGGTGGCTGGATCCAGCGTGAGTGAATATGGATTAAGGATATGTGACAACTAAATTAGCCCACTGATTGGTTTAGCATAGTTTTGGATGTGGATGATGGGAAGGCCCTCCCTGGGTGTCAGTGGCAACAACCAATAGGCTTGTAGCCTGAACTGAATGAAAGGGAAAGGGAGGCTTACTGCTTTGCTGCTGCCTGCCTCCTGCCTGCCTTGCTGTGGACCCATTCCACTCTTCGATATCCTTCTGTCATGCCACCCTGCCTAGAACCAGCCTCTGGAAAACATCTACAGGTTTCAGTGAGCTAAAATAAACATTTCTGCCCGGGCGTGGTGGCGCATGCCTGTAATCCCAGCACTTGGGAGGCTGAGGCAGGAAGATCATTGTGAGTTCGAGATCAGCCTGGGCTACAAAGTGAGTTCAAGGCCAGCCTGAACTGCATGGAGAGACCCTGTCTCAAAAAGACAATAAAATAAAATAAAATAAAATAAAATGAAATAAACATTTCCTCTTTTAACTTGAGGGTGTTGGGTATTTTCTCCCAGTAATGAGGCAGTAACTAAGGCAGATGGTGACTGGATTATGGGGGTACTCTAGCTCATTGCTGTTAGAAGGTAGGACCTAGTCACAAGAGGTGAGTCTCTGAGGGAGCAACATGGAAGGACATGGCACCCTTCCTAGCTCCTCTTTTAACTCTCTCTGCTTTCTGGATGCCAGGAGGTAGGCAGTTTTTTTTTTTTTCCTACCATTACCCTCTGCCATACTGTCCTGCCTTGAAGCCAGCCAACTATGGACTGAAATGTGATCCCAAATAAACCTCTCCTCCTTTCAGTTGTCATGTGACAGGTATTCTGTCTTAGTAATGGGAAAGTAACTCAGACAGATTTTGGCACTAGAGAAGCGAGGCTGTCATTGTGAATATTCTTGATCCTGTGGTTCAGCTATCTTTTGAACTAGTTTGCAGGAGTTCGGAAATATTTGGAGAAGCCCGAGAAGCAGCCCTAGAATGCTGTAAGCCAAGTTTGATGGAAGATTATGATCAGATCTGAGAAGATCAGAATGCTGGTAGAAATTCAGAATGTGAAGACCAGGCAGAGGAAGTTTCAGTTGTGAACAAGGACTCTATTTGCAGCTTCACTCTAGGCCACATGTATGTGCTGTGGCAGAAAATTTGTTGATATTTTGCTCAAGTCCTAAGACTTTGTAGGAGACTGAGATTAAGGGCAGTGGACTAATAGGTAAAAGAAATTGCAAGGTACCTCAATGTTGAGGCTGTGGTATGTACTCTGTTGAGGGGTTTTGGCCAAGTTTATACTGAAAATCAAGAGCAAAACGCCCATTGAAAAAGTTTTCAGTTTATTCTGAAAGATAATACCTGTAAAGTTGAAGAGAGTTTGGTTGTTGAAAAGATTAGCATTAAAAGGAAGCCAAGTACTTTGGAATAGGACAATAAGAAAAATGGCTCCAGGGCCTCACAGCAACAGGCTCCACCCTTTGCAAACTCGAAGTTGCAAAACTCCATGATTTTCCTTGAGAAGACAGCCCCAGGGTACTGGGCTGCAGAAGGCCTGCCTAAAGGAAAATGCTGAAGAAAACCCTAAGTGAGCAAAGCCAGCTCTAAAGAAGTCCTGACGGCTACAACCACCAGCAATGACATAGCAACATGGCTGTCCAAGCCTTTTGGAGTTCACAGCTCCTCACAACTTGCCCTGGCCACTGGGAATGGAGCTATAGGATTTTTGACGTTTGCTTTGCAGGGTTTGGGTCTTGGTTTGATCCCATTCCTATCTAGCCTGCATTTCCTTCTTTTGAAATGGAAATATCTATCCTGTTCTCTTGTACTTTGGAAATGTTTAACTTATTTTTTTGTACCTGGAATCAAACTCAGGACCTTGTGCTTGCCAGGCAGGTGCTGTGTCACTGAGCTATATCCCCGGCTGTGGTTTTTTTTTTTTTTTTTTACTTTTACAGAGCTCATAGGTAAGAGTTTGCTTCAAGTATCAGAGATTATGAACTGGGACTTTTCAGCAATGCAGGAACTGTTAAGACTTTGGTGTCTCTTAGAAATGCTCATGGGTCTTTTGGGGACTGAGGGAAAAGGGTGCTATGGATTAGATCTACAATGGCCCCCAAAGTTTGTATGCTGTGATTGGATTTTGGGGACACTATGGCTGACTCTGTTAGGAGGTGAGGTCTGGTCAGAGGAGATGAGTCACTGGGGGAGTGACCCAGAAGATTATGACTCCTTTTCTATCTCTTCCCTTGAGTCTCTCTCCTTCCTGGCTGCCATGAAGGAAGTAGTAGCTTTGCTTCTTCCACCCCATCCTGTTTTGGAGCTAGCCAACTATGGACTAAACCATGAGCCAAAATAAACCTCTCCTCCTTTAAACTGTGGGGGTCAGGTATTAAGTCTTAGTGATGGGACTGTGAGACACCTGAGACTCCTAAAAGCTGGTAAAGGGTGGAGTGTATCTGCTTATTTTAATGAAACAAGGCCATGTTTATAAATAGAAAACTTAGTTTAATGACTGGTATTGTTGTAGGTAGCTGAGTTAGATAGAAATATAGGCAGTCAGACAGGGCCAGGCCCTGGAAGGAGCCAACATGAAAGACAAGATACCTTGTGAATGGAGACATTTGCTGTGGGCCAGACCTCAATACAAAAGACTAAACAAATGCACCCACATACCTCCCTAGGGATGGACATCAGGGATTGATATCCTAAATAGGTAGTAATCACCTTGAAGGGTCACTGACCCAACCCCTTACAGGAAAAGCTCCTACCTTGGACCCCGCCTCACTTCGTGGTTTTGTGCTATAAAAGTCCCTCAAAAAGACAGAGTCCTAGCCGGGCGTGGTGGCGCATTCCTGTAATCCCAGCACTCGGGAGGCTGAGGCAGGAGGATCATTGTGAGTGCCAGACCAGCCTGGGCTACAGAGTGAGCTCAAGGCCAACCTGAACTGCATAGTGAGACCCTGTCTCAAAAAGACAGAAAAAAAAAAAAAAAAAAAAAAACAGAGTTCTGGCCAACCCACTCGGACAGAAGCTTCCTTTCCCTCAATAAATATATTCTGCTCTTAACATCCATTGTTCCTAAAATTCATTCTTCAATTTTAGAGAACACAAACTCATCCCAGACATCGTTCAGGTTGGGAGTCTTTATTTTCCTGTATCAATATGTGCTAACTGTTCAGCACATATCAGCAGTTCATAGTCGTCTTTATAGCGTTACATCTAAAGCTAGGTCGGAGCGCTTCTGCGCCCTTTCTTTAGACTGGTAGTGGTGGGCTTGGGTGGGAGATGAAGTCACTACCAAGTATTCCTGACTCAAATAGCCTCCTAAAAGTCTATGCTCGCCTACTGGCAACTGCACTATTTATTCATTCACTTACCGTCCAACATAGATTTACTGAGTACCAGTGGCCCTGTGCTCGGCACATAGACCTCTCATGTCTGGCATTCATGCGCGGTGTGCCCTGGACTGTCACACAGACTACTACTGGATCAGGAAACCCGCTCCCCAACACACATCTCCATCTGCCTGCTCACGGAGTTGGTGAGTTAGAAGGAGCCTGCATGATGGCATCTTGCATGCCAGAGTGTGGAATTTGGAATCTAGTGTGTATTCTTTTGTTCAGATAAGGAATCTGAAGTCTGCGAAAGGGGTGTTTACTCAAGTTTAGTAATTCAGTGGCGGTCTGAGGCTACAACCTGGTTGTTTGATTAAGTTGGGAAACAAAGGCACTGCACTAGATCAGCTGCCTTCCGAGGAGAGTGAGTGTGTTTTCACTGACACCCGGGTGTTGCCTTCCTTTAGAGAGAGCTGCAATTCAAGGTTAAATGAAGTAGCTCTTGAATAAGGGTAGAACAGTGGTTCTCAATTCTGGTTGTATTATGAGGTCATCTGGAGAACATTTTAAAAATCCTGATATGGGGGCCCCACCCCAGGCCAATTAAGTTAGTGTCTGTAGGGGTGGAGCTGGAGCCTCCTACAGGTTTTGAAAGTTCCCCAGGTGTTTTTAATAGTCACTCAGAACCCCGAAGTTTGAGGTATAGTCAGTCTAACATACAGTGGGTGGGATAGAGCAACAGTTCCAAAAAGTAATATGGGTTTGAATCATCTAGTGATTATTTTTAGAATGCAAATTCTAAACCAGCAGGTCAAGGTGGGCCTGAGAATCTCCATTGCTAATACGTTTCCATAGACCGTTAATACTAACAGCCCCTCGACCACACTTCCAGCAGTAGCTCCAGGAGGTGCTCTGGGATTCTGGTCACCCCCGTGGTCACTGGATGAGCTCTCGTCACCGCCATGCTATTAACACTAGGCCCTCAGATCTTGTCTATGCCCTGCAGCTGCTATTCTTCCTTGATGAATAGACAGGGCATTCACCCCACTGCGCCCCACCGGCGCTGGCCTGGCACTGTGCTTTGCTAGACTGTTCGCTGAAGGACCTTATCCTTCTCTCTTGCCCCTGCCAGCTCTGTTTTCACTCCGTGGAAGTAGAAAGCTCTTCCACTCCCTCACACACGTCTTAAGAGAGCACGTCATCCCCGGGTCTCTTCTTGCCCTGATCACCTGTTGATTGCCTAGGAACTGGATGCCCTTCTGCTTCCAGCATTCCCAGCACCCAGCTCTGCGCCCATCAGACTTTCAATAAATGCTGGTTGGATTTGACAAACAGAACCTGAAACTCCAGTAAGCAAGGCCAAACAAAGGCTTTGGCTGCTCTCTTTCCGATAAAAAACGAGCATTCCTTTGAGATTATGCATCAGGCTTTAAACTCCCCACTGCGGGGGAGGGGGGTTCCATCAAATTTAACAAAAGTTAAGTGGTTATTTCCTGTCTGGGTTGTGAGTTTTAACACAGGCTTAAAGCAGGCGACGGGGCAGGAATGAGAGACGGATGCTGCCAGGGACTTGGAGGTCTGCTTTCACGTGTGGGCTCGTGGCGGCCAGGGGAAAGGCCGGAGGTTGGGGACCGGGTGGGCGCTCTCCCGGCTGTGGAGACTGTCGCCTGCGCGGGAGGCGCGAGCGTGAACTAACTTGGCGCGGAGGGAGGCGCCGCGCGCAGCCGTGGGGCTTCGCGTCTGGCGGGAGCCCGCACGGGCCGCCGGCTGGGGAAGGGGGCGGGGGAGAGGGAGGGCCGGTCCGGAGCCGCAGGGGTGGAGGAGGGGGAGACCGAAGGAAATGAGACAAGCTTTTCCTCCCACTGACTCGGGCTCCTCCGGCGTTTGCGAGGCTGGGCACGGCAGCCGGTGAGCGTCGAGCCGGGACCCCGCGTCCCCAGCTCAGCCAGACCCCAGCGGGCCGCCAGATTGCTCTCGAGTCCGAGCCCGGAGCAGCGCCCGGTCGCGTCCTGCCCTGGGTGATCGGCTCCGGGTCCCCGGAAGTGCGCGCCCGCGGTCCCGGCGAAGGTAAGCAGCACCCCGGAGCGCGCCCGGGGTGCAGGGGCGCCGGCGTTCCCACGGCGCGGGAATCTCCTCGGCGCCCCTCCTCGCAAACGCCCCGAGCTCTTCTGACCCGGAGCCACTGCTTTGTTCCCCGACCCCTGCCCAGGTGTTGTAGACTGGGTGCCCCCGGGAACTCGTGCTGCCTGGCGCTTTCTTTTTTGCCTCCTCTTCCTCCTGTCTCTCGGTTGCTTCCTCCGCTCCATACTTTTCCTTTTCTGGATCTAATAACTCTCAGCTCTCTGTCTGTGCAGCGGGCTTCGGAGAGCGGGCGCTTTCCAAATCAGGGCGCCGCTCTGCTCCGCCGCGGGGAGCTGGGCTGAGCGGGTTGGCCCGCGGCAGTAACTGGCTTTGATCTCGGACCTGCCGGGGGGCTGGCCCGCCTGAGCTTACCGTGGCTTAGGTTGAACTATTTACCTGGCTCGTTCGGAGACTCTCAGTTCCCCGCGCGCTTTTGACGACCCGCCGGACCCCGAAGTAAGAGTGGATTGCGTAATGGAAAGGCTGTTGGCGCCCCCTAAAGCCTCAGTGGGACGTTCTGCTGGTTTAGAGGGGCGCAGTCTGCCCCACGCGGCTCTTTGCGGGGAGGGAGCACCAGTGACCGGCTGGGGTGCGCGCAGTGTGTAGCGATATGGGTTTTCGAGGTGATGAGAAGTTTAGGGGGAAGAGGACACCGACCACATTGCGCGCGCGAGGTTGCGGTTTCGCTCTGACTCTGAGCTCACCTGCACATCAAACCTATGGTAATGACTCCTATCTCTATTTTAAAGAGGAGTGACATGAAGTGCGGAGAGATTAAATAACGGCCTGGGGGGCGGGGAGGGGGGAGGAACACCAATTGGAAAGGGCCCAGCCAGGATTTGGATCTTAGGTGGTTTGTACCACAGTCCCAAGTTCTGCCCTACTGTGTTTTCCTCTTTTCAATCTAAATAAAAGCCCACCAGCCCCTCCTTCCTCATGCCGCGGGGAACCAGGCTTCTTCCTTTCTAAGCGAATACATCTTGCTTCGATTCAAATCCAAAGTATGCATTTAGTACTTAGTATCTTTATATCGCAGTGGCAGGTGCTGAGATGTCACTTGTCTTTTTGGTTTTGCGGACTGGGGATTGAACTCGCGGTTTTGCTCTCAGCTACATTCCCTGCCCGCTTTTTTGAGACCAAGTCTCCTAAGTCTCTGAGTTGTCCCGTGTGGGACCGAACTTGGGATCCTCCTTCCTTAGCCTCCCAGAGGGCTGGGATTCCAGCTGTGCTGCCACACTCCCAGGTTGTTTCACTTTTGAGCCTCCCTCTTTCATCCCCTCCTGGTCATCCTGTCTGCCATGAAATACACAGCTCTGCCTCCGAAGGCTGGATTAGTCTCTCCTCCTTGAAAGGCTGTCAAGTCTAATGGCTAGGAGGCCAAGCCCTGCAGCCAGAGCACCAGAGTTTCAATTCTGGCTGATGCCTTTCTGTACCTTCCCATGGCTGGATTTCCTCGCCTGTAAAGTAGGGATGGTAAGGTTTAGTGTGATGGTTCTCAGCTGGGGTTTGAGTTTGCCCACAAGAGACACCCGAGACTTTTTTGGCTGTTCCCATGTAAGTAGGGGAAGATGCTATCCATCTGGTGGTGGAAGATAGGCATGCTGCTAAATATCCAGTGCTGCACAGGACAGGACCTCCCCCAAGGCAGAATTGTCTTAGCCACAATGTTAATATTACTGGGGTTGAGAAATCCTGGCTTAGTGTATCTGTAGATAAAAGTTACCATAATTTCTAACTCTCATTCTTATCTGCTGCTGTTTGGCGATACTCTGTCCTCTGTCTCCTTTCATTCCAATGCCAGTATTATATTGCTGAATCCATAGCAGGACTTACTACGATACTGCGTCATACCTTTGTTGGTCCCTCACTGCCAACAGAAGGGACAGGGATCTGCAGATGTTTTAAAGCCATTAAGAGTAACTTCTCTGGATGTTCAGTTTTGAGAATCATTATATATATAATAAGACCTAATCTTTTTTTTGTTTGTTTTTTTTTCTGGTACCGGGAATTGAACTCACGACCTTGCACTTGCCAGGCAGGCGCTGTGCCGCTGAGCTAAATCCCCAGCCCCAGTAAGACCTAATCTTGCACGCACAACAAGTGGCCCCAACTTACCTTTCCACCCTCATCTTGTACTACCTTCACTGTGCTCCCGCTATCCCTCCCCACTCCCTCTTCCGGCATTCTGAGTCCTGACTTATTAAAATGGCCTCATCTTCTTTGATTAGCAAGTTCCTCACCATTCTGTGAAACTCATCTCTAGTGCCCTTCTGGATAAAGCCTTCTTTACTGCCTAAGACAGACCAGTTGCTTCCTGCTGCCCCACTCCATTGCCCTTTTTGGTCTTTCAGTATGTCTCTTGTAGTATGTACCTTACCTTGCAGGGATCCCTGAGAATCTCCCCACCGCTCTCTGCATACCCAGAACCTCACACAGTGTCATCACGTTCACAGTGGTCATTAAGCTCTTCCAGGCTTTGAGGTTCTACTGCCTGTGTTCAAATCCCAGCTCGCCTTGCCACCTGTTAACTCTGTAACCTTTGACAGGTAGATTCTATCTCAAAGCCCTATTGGTAAAGAATGAAGAAAGGGTCTGCCTTCCCTGCAAACTCGTGTGACCAAGTGCCAACTCTGCACCAGGATACGGTTCAAATGTAGTGTTTTAATGAGTTTTTACTCACTTAAGCCTCATAATGTCTCCTTACAGTTAGTATTGGGGTTGTCCTACTTTCCAAGCAAAGAAATGGAGGCACAAGCAGGCTAAGCACTTTGCCCGACATTATACTCATTAGTGCTGGGGTCAGGATTCACAGACATCTGGACTACAGAGCATATAGCCCTCATGCTATGGGCTTGTCTTAGTGCTGAGCATTTCGTAAATACAAGCTGAGGTTTGTTGCATGCACGAATGAAAGTGTATGAGAACCACTGGGTTCTTCACCTGCACCATACTTGTGACCTGAAGCTATGCCATTATTTTTAGAATTCCTTTCCTTCCCTTCTTGCCTTGCTTGCAGTTGCAAAGGACTTCGGGGTAGTTTTCTTTATAGTATCAGTCCAGTACCACCCACCCAGATACTCAGTGGAGCCTCCCTGTGCCCAGTCAGGGCTAGAGCTCTTTGGGGATGTAGGCGGAGTTCACAGTCTTGCCTGGAGGAGACAGGTACAGAGGAGCAGCCAGGTGCCTCATGACTCCAGCTTTGTCTTTACCACGCATGTGACCTTTTGCAGTGAGCGTCTAAAAATAATGGTGCCACCAATCAGTGAATGGGGGAGGGGTAAATGTCACGGACCGGCTCTCCTCCTGCTTTATACTTGGTCAAGTGCAGAGTGAGAGTGTGCCTTTTCTCCAAGTATTAGGAATATCTATGTACTAAAGGTAAAACTTGTTAAGGGAATTTAATGACCCATATGGAGTATTGGATAACCAGACTTGGAAGCAGTCAGTGTCCCCTGTGTGAGTCACGTGTGATAAGGTTACAACTGGTCACTTTACCATCTTGGAATCTCACTTCTCCAAAAGCAGCACTGGCTTTGAAGCAGAGCCCCCTCCTTGTTGGTCCTTAGGCCACTTGCTCTGTAGGCCAGACCGCCCTGCACAAATACCTGCTCATTTGTGGACTCTGGCTTCCGCCACAGGTGTCCTCCACAGCTGTAATCCCCCTGCATTTGCTTGTTTTGGCAGATTATCCCCCAAACTATAGTGGCATGAGGTCTCCTGGCATTTGTGAGTGCTTGTAGTTTGGTGAGGGGCTGCAGAAACTCTCCAGTAAGGGCTGCTTTTGAGGGTGAGGCAGGGTGAGAACATGCCTGTCCGTGGACAGGTCTCAGACACTACAGATGCCCTGTAGCACCGCCTTCCCCTACTGGCCCCAGGCTTTGGCCATTTCCTGGCATTATCCTCTTTCCTAGGATGCCAGCCAGCTGAGCTGAGAAACTCTTTCTCCCAGGATGTCGGCGACTGGAATAAAAGACCTAGAACTCTTGAGCATTATTTGTATTTACACTGAGGGTTTCATCACCTAGCCTGGAAGACAAACTAGTCATAGTGGTGGGTAGGGTGTGGTGTCAGACTTGGTGCCCCATCTTTAGGTCTCTGACATCAGACTTTGTTGGCCTCCTCTTTAGGGACACTCCTCATAACTGACAAGTGGGTACATTCCTAAGGAAGCTGGCTCCTAGCTCTAGGGAGACATATTTTGTGCTGTTGAGGTCTTGGACTGTGTTCTCTGTGAAACATACTCTGCTGTTTGACTCTGTGGGAAATCCTGTTCAAAGGCATTTGGATCTGGGATCTGAGGGGATCTTGAGGTGTTAGCGTGGACATGGGGTGCAGGTGCAATGAACAGCTCAGTGCTGGGTGCCAGAGAGAGGGAGATGAAGAAGTCATAGGCCGTATCATACAGGTCACAGCCCATGACATAAAGTGGACATGTGAAGAGGTCATCGGAATGTGTTCAGTAGAATAAGGGACACCTCAGGAGAGAACTCTGGAGCTCAAAGGAACCAGCCACCATTTTGCTAGAGCCAGGAAAAGCATCAGAGGAAGATGTTTGAGCAGGGCCTTAACACACAAGTAGGAGTCTCCTGGGTTTTTGAGGGGAATGAGGCTGGAGATCAAAGGGCATTGTTAGGAAACTGTGGGTAAGGTAGAAAGCCAAGAAAAGGTCTGGCAGATGCCTAGGTATGAGGCAGAGACTGAAGGCCTAGAAATGGTGGGGGGAGGTGACTGACCTTTTAACAGTCCAGGTGTCTGTCCCTGTACTGTGGGAAAACAATGGAGTGAGCATTTATAGCTCAGGTGTGCCAGGTTCTTTGAATGGTGGCTCTGCCTCCTGTCTTTGCTGGCCTTGTTTCCTCTTGAGGCAGTGGGACCAGACCCCAGGGGTCGGGCGGGGACAGTGTCTCCACTAAGCAAAGAAACACAGCCAAAACAAAGCTGAGCTT